ACAGATGTACTCTTTCAGAAAAGAGTAACTGGAAATTGGGCAACAGAAACCAGTTTTTAAGTGCTTCACCAAACAGATGCACTACAGTAAAAAGGTAACAAGCTTTCCACAATTTTTAAATTTGCTTCTGGAAAGGAGTTCACATCCAAGCTAAAGACCAGATAAGTATCAGGGAGACAAAAGAAAGGTGAGGCTTTCCCTCATTCATTCAGATCCCTGTTAGGTAAGGGGTGTAACTAGGCTGCTCCACGAGGGAAAGCATGCTGAGGGAACAGCAAGACAGGCACAAGGCAGTATCCTCACCAACAAAAAGCATGTCCCACTGTACCAGCCCCACCTGAGAAAAAGAGCAAAGCAGGCCTGGTGACAGGAAATTTGTGGACAGTGACTATTGAATTTTACCTACTGAGTATATTTCAGATAATAAGGGAGCTGCTAATACACTAAAAGATATCAATACAGTCCTTCAAATTAACCTTTAATATAATATTTCCCAATTCTTTTTACAGGAACTTTTGCATGACCATTGAACATGACCATGGAGAGCACTGAAGAAAGAGGTCAGCTAAAAACTGACTCTGCATGGTCTGCCTAACTTCATTTATGTTTGATACCAACGCTGGCATAATAAAATACAAGGCCTCAACCTTTCTCCCCTCAAAGTTAGTGCATGAATTATCTAACAGTAAAATAAGAAATTTTGTGCTTTTCCAAAGTGACTGCTTACTAAAATAAATACCAGGCACACTTTAAAAATATATTTTATTTAGTAATTGGAAACATATACATTGAACTGGATATTTGGAAATTATCCTACAATAACTTAAGAAGCATTCTTAAAAGATTAACTGGTTAATTGTAAAAGCCTAGACCTGTCACAATTCACTGTTAAACTGTAATGAGCACTGGTGATTATTACAATTTTTAAGTAATTGATTTGTATTTCATACATATATAGGTCATTATTAATTCATTATCAACTCAATGAAAAGTTAGGTTTTTTGTACAAAGGCTATTTACACAAAGAAACATGGGATCTACACAATATTCTAAAATCAAAGTGCTTCCAAAGCTGTGTGGTGCTTAATGCTAAAACCAATGTAAGCAAATTTAAAAAGTCCAGATGAAGTTTATAAATTACTGAATTCTCTACCATATGGAATACATACAAAACAAGTCCACAAAAACATGTATGTGACTGCAAAATGACAATAAATAGCAGAATCCCCATAAAATAATAAATTATTGTCCCCACTTTGAACAATCAAGGCAAGCATTATTAAAGCTAAAAAAAACTAGCCAGTTTCAGACATATTTTATTTATGTAAAATTTTAGACCTCTCCCGAGATCTGTTTGTGGATTAAAAGGCTTAAATTATTTATCTTGTGGTGATTTTTTTTCCCTTCAGCATAGCTTAGCATCCCTGTGCTTCCGCAAGAATAAAATTAAAAGCCTTCCTCTGATTTCAGCAATTCAGTGTTGTTCTTCAGCCAGAGCCAGCTTTAAACAGACATGAAGTCACACAAAAATTTTAGGACAACCTCACAAAATCCACATCAAATCATGCCTTTGCTCAAATCTTAAAAACTGCTTTAAACTAAGTACTGATATTCATTCTCTGCAACTCCTTCCTCTACTGAGTGTGCTACCCACAGCTCAGATACAATTTTAAATTTTTTCCCAAATGTCCTCCTGAGCACTTTCATCTCTTCTACCCGTGAATGATCTTCTCCTACAACAACATGGGAGACACCCTCTTCAAGGTGAGAAACTACTTTTGCACCATAAAAACGGAGCTCCAAAGCTCTAATTGATAGTGTAGTTCCAGGGATTTTGCTTTCGGGCTCATTAACAACAGCATAACAGTCCACATAAACAGTGCTTCCTCTGAATATGCCAAGCTGACAATTGTTCCACCAATAACGTTCTTCTAGCTCTGCAATCAAGTCCACAGGCATTGCCTTATTGTCTTTCATTCTTGAGAATACCTCCTTGAGCTGCACAACATCTGTGTTTGCTGTGTAACTGTCTCCATAACAATCATACTCACGAGCAAAATGTTCTCTTGTGTCAGGAGACATGTGAATCATAAAGGCTGGTTGCCAAGGCACCAGCATTTTGGTTTGAAAACACTGAAGGAGCCACTCTGCCCTCACCACATCGTATTTGTTGGAAGCAATGATGTTTTTCACTCTGACATTCTCAGCTCCTACAACGACACAGTATGTCTCCGGCCCCGGGTTCTGTACCACACTGCCACCACATTGAGCTATTCTGCTTTCCAGCTCAGTCTTTGAGTATTTTCCTGTTCCTGTCATAACACAAAACTCAACATCTTCAAATATATTTGAAACCTTGCTTACACTAGAAAGATCAGGAGCTTTAAATTGCTCGGCTATTCCAATTACCTTCCTCACCTTTGAAACAGTTTTCCTTTTTTTCTCATGTGGCTCATCATACTCATCTATAGGAAGGTGCTTAGATGCCAGCTTTCCTTGTGCTTTGCTCCTGAGGTCTTCTAACATGTCTGAAGTCATGCACTCATACCATTCTTTGTCTTCCCTTATCTTCTCAATTCGGGGGAATCTCAAAGTACAGTCAGTTTTGTACATATCACTGTCAACAATCTCAGCTGCCTTGATCTGAACTATGACAGAGTTGCAAGGTTCAATGTACATTTCAGGTTTTTCAGTTCCACACAAAATGTTACCAGGAGGGTTCTTCCTATGGTACGGCTTCCAATGTTTAGCCAGTTTCAAGCCTAGATCATACAACTCTTTCATGGTATAGCCAGAGCCAACACGACATATGGAGTGGAAAATGGTCGGTTTTTCATTTGGAGGGGGTGTCTCCGCAACAGCACAGAGAAAATGAGACATCATTCCACCACGAGACCCCTTCCCCCAGTAACCACCAACAATTAAAAGGTCCAGTTCATCCATCAGTCCATTGACATATTCTGGCTTGATTTTTAACCAGCCTTCCCCACGTTTGTCAGGCTTGTAGGTGGACATGGGATCTTTCACCATAATTCCCTCCTCTCTGTTATCTATTGCTTCATTTAAAGCATCAATTACTTCTTTTCTTGTTCTGGCATTTCTCTTATGGACAACATGTATCCTGCCCTTTACCGGGGTAAATACAGTATTTAAGATTTCATATCTTTTGCTCAGTACTTCATGGCCCAACTTCTGATCATTAACCATCAATACATCAAATACACAGAAGCAGGTCTGCAGATCAGAGTCCTCCACCATTCTTTTTATGTCAAATTTGTTTCCTTTTTGCATAAAAGTTTGTGTCTCAGGATTGTAAGCCATCATTTCACCATCAAGAATGCAATTTTGTATATTGCTCTTAAATACATTATGAATAAATGGCGTTAACGAACCTTCTAGGGGTGAAGCACCAAACTGCTGAGTATAGTCAAACCCATTTCGGGAAAAATACTTGTACACATCCCCATCTTTGTGCATCTGCATACGTTCACCATCCAGCTTAGTTTCTATGTAGAATGTCTGGTTACTCATTTGTTTCTCAATTTGCTGGACATCTGCAATAGCAGCAAGCATTGGTTTAAAGGCAGAGAACAACATGATAGAAACATCACTAAGTGAGACAGAGGGATCATGCAGCTGTCTGCAAACTTTTTCCAAATCGGTAGTAACATTGTGCAATTCAGCAGCATCAGGATGAAAAATGGAAAATATAGTTTGTTGACTAACACCAAGCTTTAGATCCTTTATAATCATTCGGATAAGCCATTTTTGTTCCAGTGCTGTGCTCTGGGTAATTAACTGAAGAAGACTTTTCTTTAACTGACCCTTGTTTTTAGCAGCATTGTTATTAGCTATTGCATCTAAATGTTCATTGACTTGTTCTATTGTCAGTCTGCCTTGTTTTGGGCTCCTAGGTTTTAGCACAAAGTATGCGATCATTGCAAAATCTCCAGCATCTCCACGTGAGCCTGTAGGTGTTCTGTAATTTAAAAGCTTTGCAGCATCTTTTCCATCTTTTGGTAAATTAAGCAGTTCAATATAGAGCTTTGCAAGCATAGTTTCTTTAATTCCATATGCCATCCTCTCTCTTTCCAACTGTGGGAGAATAAGTCGCATAGCCGGGTAAAAGGAATCTGTGACATCCTTCTCTTTTTGATGAAGCGCATCATGGAACTTCCTCCAGGATTCCAGAAAAACCTTGAAATACTTGGTTTTCTCTGGACGAGATTTGCACTTCTGTATTTGCTCCAGAGTAGAACACAGATGTGCAAAAGGCACATGAGAGGCCACCGTTTTTTTAGGAGGAGGCTGCGAAACAGGTGCAGAAGCCATCAGTCTGTTTTTCACTGGGAACAAAACAAAATTATGTATTTATAAACAAAACGCCAGCCCGTTATTTCGTTTTAAAAAAAACAAAACATTACTAATTAGGATTTACGTTTTTACTCATTCGTCTACCTAAGATCTAACCACCATCTTAAAGGTCACCAGCTGATTCCTCATTCAAGGGTCAAACTCAGCAGCGAGGCTGCGACACCGAAACACTGGCATCACCTAGACAAAGGTCTGCACGGCAAGACAAGGCACCGCGCCCCCCTCGCTGCTGCCCAGGCGGGAGCTTTCAGTGCTCGGAGACCGATTTCCCTCCACCTTCCCCGAGAACGCAGCCTGCCCCCGACACCTCCCGCCTCGGCCCCTGTCCCCCGGCGCAGGGAGCGGTGCCCAAGGGGGCCGGAGAGGGCCCGCCCTGGCCACCCCACATCCCCCAGCACGGCGCTGCCATGGCCGCAGCGCGGGGCAGCGGACACCTCCCGCTCCGCACGGACCGACCTCCGGGAGCACGGGGGAACGGCCGCGCCAGCGGGGACCCACGGCTACCTGCGGAGCCGGGCTGACGCCGGCCTCCCACCGCCCCGGAAGAGGAGGGCCGACCCGGCGCCGCCGCGGTCCGCGCTCCGCCCCCGGGCCGGGGCGGGGAACGGCGGGGAGAGAAGGGAGAGCGGCCGGGCTGTGCCCTGGAAGCGGAACCGCGGCTGCGGTGACTTCCTGCCTCGGGAGGAAGGAGCGGCGGTTGAAGTTGCGCGTCGGGGTCTGCGCTGGCCCGAGGCAGCGGCGGCGGCCGCCCGGGAGGATGCGGCGGGTGGGTCTGGCGGGTCTGGCGGCGCCTCGGCCCCGCCGCGGCACGGGAGGGGGCGGGCCCGGCCCCTGAGGCCGCGGCGGGCCGGGGGGAGCCGGGGCGGCGGGGGCCGCCGGCGCGTTTGGGGTTCGGTGTGGGGTCTCGCCGGGGCTAAACGTGGCTCTTCCCTGAGGCGGAGGCAGGAGGGACATTGTCCCGGCGGTGTGCGGCTCCCGTGTCCAGGACCTGCTCCCCTGACAGCGCCGATAAAAAGTTCCTGCAGGTGCCTTCCTGCGAAGCCCCGGGAGATCTTACGCTTCTTGGCAGTAAGGTCTCGCTCCGGTGTTTCGTTTGTCTCTACTGCCAGATGGAACAATTCCTGCAAATGGGTGCTTGTAGAAGGTGGGGCTGATGGTAGCTTAATGGGCCAAGTGTTTGTTTTGAAAAGGCTGAGCTGGGTGTTTCGCTTCAGTCAAAAAGGGAGCAATTTAACAAGCTTGGAAATTGCTATGTTTTAGGAGCCTATGGTCCCTAGAAAGTTAAGGTTCCAAGTTAAAGTATAGCCAGCCTTGGTTTGTTGTTGTTTTGGTTTGGTGTTGTTTGAGTTTGTTTGGTTTCTTTACGCAGTATCATCGTAATTCAAGACATTGAGTTATGATGATACTTTTTACCATTCGTCTGTTGGGAGGAGAAGTGTCACGAGAGTTAAGGGGAAAGCATTTTCTGCTGTCAATGTGTACGACTTGATGCTGTGGATGCTGGCTGCTTGAAATAACTAGGACAAGTGTCTGGTTAATTTTAAAGCCAGAGCCATGAAGTGTGTGACGCTTAACTTACTCTATGTACTCTTAATGTACTTTTTGTTTTCTTAGGAGTAGCTACTTTGCTGTTGTTTTTCTCCTTTTTTTTTTTTTTTTTTTTTTTAAGTGCACGTCTCTGTAGGATTTTAATACCGGGAAAGTGCATTATTCTGGTCTTTACTAAGCTTGTATGTTTTGTTACGGATCAGTTTCCCCATCTGAAACTAGCTTTTTATAGTTGAGGGCCTAATATTTCTACTTACGGATGTCTTCTGAATAAATGTGGTCAGTGTAACTCTTGTGCAAATTTTGTCTGTATCTGGAGAAGTTAGAGTCTAGGAAAAGGAAGTGGAGACAGATGTAATTCGATATTTCTTAAGAACACAGAGAAGTATTTGGTTTTGTTTGTTTGTTTTGAAATCCAAAGGATTTGGAGTGAGTGTTGAGACTTAACTTTTTTTTAAAGCTCTTTAAAGAGGAAGCAGCCATTAAACACCTGATTGTGATTCAAAGGACCAATTTTAATACTACTTAGGCACTAAAAGTTAGTTTTTAGAAGAGAATGTAATATTTGTTTTTATTCACTGTGTATGTATGCTGTGTTATTATTAAATATATTACAATTATATATGAACATTATTATTATAATTTTACAGTATTGTTATATACTCTGTGTTGTGTATATAGTCCAGGACATTTCACTGTGTTTCTTGAACTTCATTATAAGATGTTTTCAAGGTCATCCAATGTTTCAAACAAGCATTCAGCTTGATAGGAGGAGCATGAGATGCACAGTTTCACTAGTGAAGTAGTTGTAACTTCTAGGGGGTTTGGATCTTGCCACTTCTAAATCTTCTTTCAAGTAATAAGATAAGCAGTAAATTACATGTGTAATTCAAAACAGTTTTACTCAAAATTCATAAATGGAATTGTTTTTCAGGCAGAGATGAAGCCTGGGAAATCACCACATCTAAAGGTAAATGTTTTATGATATGATTAGTCTTTGAAAAATTTTATGTTTAATATTGAAAATGTAGACAGAGACAAAACAACAGAACCTGTGGCAGATACAAGAGTAATTTCAGCTGCCATTCAAAATGAACCAGAAATTGTTCCCTAGTTCATTAAATACACACTTGAGTTTTTGTTATTCTTTCAGTTGATAATGGTGTTAACCATTTTGAAATAGCATCAGGGCAAAATAGAATATTGTTAAAATGCCTCAATCATAAAGAAGTTTTTTTTTTCCTCAAAAATTTAATTGTTGTGTGTGATTTGTATTTTCAGTAGCTACCTAATTTTGGGATTTGTAGCTCATCTGATAGAATATAAAGGTCTGCAATAGTTCCTAGGCTGTGGATTCGGCTGTGAAGATGTATAGATACAGAGGGTGTGTGAGTATATATCAACATATGTGTATATCCCACCACAAAGCTGAAACTCACTGCTTCCAAATTTCCTTTCTGTTTTGAGTGATAATACAGTTCCATGGTAGTTTAAGCCAAAGGTACAACAGCAGTCTGGCTAAATCTTACTTTCATTAGGTCTTAAGACTGAGTTGGCCCGCATTTCCTGTGTGGCAATGGTTTCCACAGTAAAGCTTAGTATTTCAGTACTGTCTTCTGTTTGTCTTTTAAGCTTACAAGCATTACCAAATAAATACTTGCCAGAAGTATTAGGATTCCCAAAGGCTAGCCTTTCTAATGCACATTATCAGAGGAAACAATTTTTTTAATGACCTTATGCTTCTTTACCTAGCCTTTTACTTAACTTAAATAATCAGTGATTATGAAATACTGTGAATGCTGTAAAATAGGATGTGACTCCTTGTTATAGGAAAATCTTGTTTTCAAAATTACAACAATTACGTGAAATACAGTGCTGTAATAAAATAATTCTACAAAAAAAAAATGTGACTTTTTTAGTGAAGCAAGAATGCCCTCCAAGAAATTAAAGGGGTGAATGCTTCTTGATATAACTGGGACCTCAGACAGTTATGGGGCAAGTCCATGACTGGTCGTTGTAGTCTAGGAACAGAAGCAGTCTTGTCTAGAGAGAGGATCAGGTTTGTCCAGGTGGTGGGTTGGTGGGTCTGCTCTGTTTCTCAAGTTGACCACATCAGACATCAAAGTCTAAATACACTGTTCTCCCACTCATGCCTTTTCCAGATTATTCTGGCCCCTACTAGTCACAAAATCAGAGATGCAAGAGAAAATGCAACAGAAGATGAAATGCATGCTCTTCACAATTCATGACAGAGTATTTGCATCGTAAGATGTAATACTGTAAACTGCCTGAAAGAGTTATAACTTCCCATCCAGTACACCTGGAGTGGGAAATAAACACCAAGAAAAGACTTTTGTGTGTGTGTTGTTTTGCAGTATGTTAAACCGTCTCAAATCTCATACACTTCAAAAAGTGCTGACCTTACTGCTCACTGAATATTACTTTATTAGCTTACCCCTTTTATTTCTGTCCTTCAAGTGGAAATTCTAGTCTGTTTCTATCATCTTCTGCTGTCCAAGGTAGTTTGTGGAAGGTCTGTTGCTTTGAGTGCCATAGAAAGTGTGGGTTGTAGCTTTATTGAGAACGAGATTTTATTGATTTGACTTAGAGTCTCTTCTAGGCCTGTATACTTGTTTGAGAAATCATCCTTTTCTGCTCTAGCGATCTTTTAATTGGTATTGAAAGGTGGGAAGGAACCTAGGAAAAGTTTTTATCTTCATTTCCTAGCTAACAAATCTTGCAACAAGATGTGAAGGCCTGGAAATGATTTGAACCGGTGAAGTTTCACACAGCTGGGAAAAAAAACTTGAGTAGTAATGCAGTTGTTCAGTATTGCAGAGTTGTCAGCTTTATTTAAATCTGTAGTGAGCATGAAACATTTGTGGCTGTGTAGTTTGCTCTTCTTGTTAACTGCTTACTGTATGCTGAGCTTTAGTTATAAGGTGTACTGGCTTTACAATTCCAGTAGCCAAGTATTTGTATATACCTGTATGTATATATATATATAGGTGTGTGTGTGTATATATCAGAAGTAATCACACAGTAGAGCTATCTCAGTAGTATAATATTTTGATATTTGCTTGCTGAAATAAAAATAGAAGTGGTGCTCTTCTCATGAAGCTAACATGGCTTATAAAATGAGCTATGGGTATCAGTCTCCAAATAATAATCCTTAGTGTATGTGGGGTAGTCATTGCAAAACTTCATTACTTGAAGTGAGATTTTTATTAATTCTTTGTCTCTTAGTAGTTTTGTTAAACAGTGGGTCTCTTGTGAATATATTGTTGAGAAAGCATTTTTGGAGTTTCTTTCATTTTATAAGACAGTCAGCAAAATGTTGAATAGTGTAGGTAAGGAGAATGGTTTTATTGTCTCATTATCAATGTTCTTATAGTCTTGAAATGTAATGCAGGAAATGTATATTAACTTCTTTAGGAAGTTCTCTTAGAAATTGAAGTAGCTACTTTATATGTCTTCTAATAATTTTGAGTTCTTTTCAAGGGAAATGGATCACAAGAATTAAATCTTCCTATAGACAGTATTTGTACGAACTTGGATATGGACAATAAACATGAACTTATAAATAATATAAGAGAACAAAGTTGAGATAACTGGTCTTTTAGACTACTTTATATTTCACCAGTTTTATGTATTTGGAGTAGGTATACTATATAAAAGCTGTAACATTGGTTATTATATGAATCTTAAGATGTGACATTTATTTTTCTGATTTATTTATAATTTTTGCATAAAATGGAGATGCCAATTTTTCCTGGTCAGATTGGGTGCTTATATCTGTGGAATGCAAAGGTTGTAGCTGCAGAGATTACGTTTTATCACTCAAGCCTACCAAGATGGCTGGCATGAAATGCTTGGATGAATCTCTGCATGTCAAACTCCACTTTGGAGTTTGAATTCAGATTATTGCTGTGCTATATCATTTTAGGAAATTATAACTTTGTTTCCAAAGTGTAACTATTATCTGCTATATAGCTCAGTGTTCTCGAACAAGGAGCTTTGTGTTGTCACTTCCAGGTAGTGTGATTATTCAATTCAGTGGTGACTGAATGGTTACTGTAATTTTTGTGTAGGTTTGTCAGTTTTTGTCTGTTTCCATATGAACCAGGAGTATTCATCTTGTATGCAAGATTTTGTATGGATGCTGGGAGACATAACTTTTGGTTGGAAAGAAGGTTTAATCCACTGTCATTAACATCACTCTCTTCATTTTATGCTGTGCGTGTGTTTTTGTCATGAGTCTGTTTTCATGTTTGGTATTTTCAGCAGTGCTTTTCATTGACCAGAGAAAAATATAGTTAACTGACTGTTTTCAGTGGTCTTGCATGATGATAAAATCTTCCATTCAGCTAAAGACTTAATGCAGATTATTGATCTGATAGTGGAAAATGATTGTTATAAATCAAAAGCAATCAAAATATAGCAAAAAAAATCTGTCATAATGGTAAATACAATGTGGTATCTGAGTAGAGAGGAGTCACTCTCTTCTGAGCAGTTCAGGTGTGGCTCAGTTGATTGAGATGCTGAAAGGCAGCCACTAACCCACAGCAGTGCTGGGATGTGTGGTGAACCTCCGCTGGCTGCAGAGTGACGTGCACAGGCTTACAGCATGCTACTTAGCAACTTAGAAATGAGGGCTATTTTTGTTTGTGTTCTCTGAATTCTAGAGTTACTTATATGAGCAGCTTTGACAAACTGGTGGCATAGTCTGTATGGTTATTCTTCTGCTTAGTAGGAAAGTCTGAAGGAAAGCAGAAGTTACTGTGGTCTCAGTCAACCAGTCTTCTAGTGCTGCTAATGGACTGCCTGCAGAAATACTGTAAATGGGGTTTTGAAGAGTTCTAAAGCCTTTCCTTATGAGTGCATTTCTGCATGTATAACAGAGCCAAATGGTTGCCAAAAGTTCAAGGGGAATTTGCCACCAAATTTTATGTTAATGCTCCAATACATTGACTTGCCATTAATTGTCATAAAGCAAGTTAAAATGCTTAAATTGCAAACCTTTTTCTTTTTCCTATATTTATATGTATACATTTGGGTTCTTTTACAGGATTTACTTGGCGTAAAAGATCACTGACTTCTACAATGGAAAAATCATGGATGCTTTGGACCTTTGTTAAAAGATGGCTGCTAGCTTTGGCTTCCTGGTCTTGGAGTCTCTGCCGTATTTGTCTTTTGCCCTTGATAGTGACTTTTCACTTGTATGGAGGCATTATACTCCTTGTATTAATATTTGTATCCATAGCGGGTATATTATATAAATTCCAGGATGTTCTGCTTTACTTTCCTGAACAGCCCTCTTCATCACGCCTTTATGTTCCTATGCCTACTGGTATACCACATGAAAACATCTTCATCAAAACCAAAGATGGAGTTCTTCTCAATCTTATTCTGCTGAGATACACAGGGGACAATGCAGCATATTCTCCAACCATCATTTACTTTCACGGGAATGCAGGCAACATTGGCCACAGGTTACCAAATGCTTTGTTAATGCTGGTAAACCTGAAAGTAAACTTAATTCTGGTCGATTATAGAGGGTATGGCAAAAGCGAAGGAGAAGCAAGCGAAGAAGGCTTGTACTTAGATTCTGAGGCTGTCTTAGACTATGTGATGAGTCGGTCTGATCTTGATAAAACGAAAATTTTTCTTTTTGGCCGTTCCTTGGGGGGAGCAGTAGCTATTCACTTAGCTTCTGAAAATTCCCATAGGATTTCTGCCATCGTGGTGGAGAACACCTTTCTTAGCATCCCATACATGGCCAGCACTTTGTTCTCTTTCTTTCCGATGAGATATCTTCCATTATGGTGCTACAAAAATAAATTTCTATCCTACAGAAAAATCTCTCAGTGCAGAATGCCTTCTCTCTTCATCTCTGGGTTGTCTGACCAGTTAATTCCACCAGTTATGATGAAGCAACTTTATGAATTATCCCCAGCTCGGACTAAGAGATTGGCAATATTTCCTGATGGAACTCACAATGACACTTGGCAGTGCCAGGGTTATTTCACTGCACTTGAACAGTTCATCAAAGAAGTAATAAAGAGTCACTCCCCTGAAGAAATGGCGAAAACTTCATCTAACGTAACAATAATATAATTGATATTCTTCTTTGGGATGGGGTGGGGCAAGTACCTGCACTGTACCTTGATTTGTGATAAGTGGTAAAAGAATGTCTGTTCTTAAATGTATGTCATGCTTGTACTTGCCTAAAGAGTGAAATTAAACTTGGAAAGGTCTGATATTTTATTAAGGTGTTCCAGATAACTTTTACATTTGCAGCATTGTAAATGAACCATTTTATGTCTTTCTCATACTTTTTTGGTATCTCTGTCCATATATTCCATTTGTTTGATATGTACAACAGATGCTATTAAAGAAACTTGCTACAAAAGTAGTACAGAATGTATTTAGAACAACGGGAGGCTCTTTGGTATTCACTGCTGTATGTGTGAGCTTTTTGGACAGCCATGGTTGGCACAATGATTTGTTGCTTCACTTAGAGTTTATTTAAAGTGTGCCATGCATGAGATTAGTGTTTAATTTCTTGAAATTTTATATTATGCAAAGTGGGAAGTCTTTAATGTGCTAAATAATATAAAATAACATAAATGGTAGAGTATACTTGCAAGTATACTGTCCTGGGTTATTACTGGTTTTATGGTTATGCAAACTTACATATTTCAAACTGCAGCTGAAGATGAAAAGATCCTTATTTTCATTTACTATTTGTATTATAATAGTGCACAGAAAGTTGTATGTGCCTAACATCGTGACTTCAGGATTTTACCCAGGCAATTTCTCTATAGAAAAGAGAAGTAATTTTTTCTGAAAGAGATCAGTGCCATCTAAGCTCCTTTCTGCCTCAAGCTCTTCTCAATAATGTACAGGTAAACTATTTGTTAGAACTAGTCTGCTTGTGCATTTGAGGTTGTATTTCTTAAGGCAAAATGGGTGGTCATACAAGGTAAAAGTAGGTTTTTGTGTTCAGACTTTTATGCTGGCATAGGTAAATGTTTGTGCCCTTTATTTATACCTCCTAAAGAAACAAATTTGAATAATTACAAGTGATCACATGATTAGAGAAATGTGTACAATTGTTACAGTAAGGATAATGAAAATGTCCAGATAGTCCTAGATGGTCATATCATTGAGGGTAGGAAGGCTCTGCAGATACTGATTGACTGGAGCAACAAGCCAAAGCCAACTGCATGAGGTTCAGCAAGACGAAAGGCTGGGTCTTGTGCTTGAGTCACAACAACCCCATGCAGCACTACAGGCTGGGGAAAGAATGGCTTGAAAGCTGGTCAGCAGAAAAGAGACTTGGAGGTGCTAGCCAACAGCTGCTTGGATATAAGCCCAGAGTATGTCCAAGTGATCAAGAAGGCCAGTGGCATCTAGGTCTGTATCAGCAGTGGTGTGGCCAGCAGGAGCAGGGCAGTGACTGTGCCCCTGTGCTCCGTACCAGTGAGGCCACAGCTTATGTCCTGTGCTCAATTCTGGACCCTTCACTACAAGAAAGATATTGAGGTTCTGGGAATGGTATGGAGCATGGGTCCTGTGAGGAGCAGCTGAGGGATATGGTGGTGTGTAGTCTGAAGGAAAGGTGTCTCAGGGGAGACCTTACTGCTCTACAATCACTTGAAAGGAGGATGTAGCAAAGTGAAGGTCAGCCTCTTCTGCCATGTTTCAAGTGCATGGATGAGAGAAAATGGCCTTGCATCAAGGAAGGCTCAAATAAGGTATTACAAATTTTACTGAAAGAGTGGTTAGTCATTAGACTAAGTTGCCCAGGGAGGTAGTGGAATCGCCACCTCTGGAAGTGTTCAAGAGTCATCTGCATGTGGCACTTGGGGATATGGTTTAGGGGTGATTATGGTTGTGTTAGGCTGATGATTGTACTAGATGACTTTGAAGGTCTCCTCCAACCTTGGATCAAAGACATAGCGCTGTTAGCTCAGGCTCTAATGGAGTGTGGGAGCTGTTTAGATCTCTTCTGCTGGTTTAGTTACTCATCTGCTGCAGCTGAGTTTGCCTCATCTTTTTTTTTTTTTTTTTTTTTTTTAATGGAAAGAACAAATTGGAAAACCTTCCATGCAATCTGTAAAGTTGCCCTGAATCAAATTTTTAAGTAAACTTTTCTGCCATGTCCTGATTCAGAAAAGCTTCTCAGCACACACTTAAAATCTGTTTCCTGAGGGACAGTCATATTTTAAGCTTGTGCTTATGTTCTCTGGTTGAATAAAACTGCTTTTGTGAACTGGTGCCTTAATGGTTATGCCTCCTGATGGAATTATAGTTCTTACATACATGTGGGTAATAGTTGTCAGCAGTTTGTAGATAGGGTGATACATCCTTTCATAAACATGATTTTTTGGGGTTTTGTTGTTTTTTTTTTTTAAATAAACATATACATACCAGAAGTTGCCGCTTTCTCTGGTAAGTATCTTATATAATACTATTATTAAGGTTTTCTTAGAGTTGATAGAAAAAAACTACACATCTTTGTGGATCTATAGACGTGAAAACATAGAGCATACTTTTCAATCTGAGTGAAACCAAAACTATCTTTTCAGCCTTACAGTGGTGATATTTATTTTTTTTTTCCTTTTGGGAAGAGGGGTACTTTGGAAAAGTGTATTGGAGAAGTTTGATTGGGGGCTGGGAGATGAGGCTGTGTGTAACTATCAGAAAGAAGTTAATAGACATATCATTGCCTTTCCCTGATGTATTCTACAGTGAGATATGAGCTGTTTGCGTAGATTTTCATCTATTTCACATTGCTTTAGAATAGCTGTGGAGGGAGAGAAGGAAAATTAGCAGTCAAATATTGCTTTTCTAAAATTCAGTTTATAAAGCCAAAAGAGTAAATTAATTGTTGGAGACACAATGAAGAGAAAGTAATTGCTTTAGAAGTTGTCATATCTTGACATTAAATATCATTGGGCGGAGGGGTGGGGTTCACAGAACATCAATTTCTAAAGCAACGTGTCATTTAACCTCACTTCCCACCAACTGAAACAAAATTCTCAACCCTAGAATATCCCTAGTATTATGTGGCACTTGTATACAAATGAAGTATTCCTGTTTGAGCACACTGTTGCTAAGACAAAGTCAAATGTGTGGTGTTAGATTATGGCAGTGTGAAACTTCAAAGTGGGCTGTATCTAAACATTACTTATTATCAAGCCATATATTTTCACTATATTGTCTGCAGGATGTAAATATGAAACTTTAATTTTGCAGGTATGGGGTGTGAGTTGGCACAATTGTTATGTATGCATCCTTTATACTTATGTGGTTTCTTCCACCTTTCATATATGCACAGTTTTGTTTCTCAGTTAATGGGTTGGCCACATATGCTTGTGAATGAATGTTATTATGCTGTTTTTCATTGCATTGGTTATTGTCAGGAAAATTAAACCACAAACACCAGAGCCTCTCCCTTTATTCGAATAAAGTAAAATGACTCCTCTGTCTCCTTTTTGGACATAAACCTCTGGTGTTTGTGGATTAATTTTCCTGACAGTTATGAAGTACAGTGAAGGAAGATAGAAGTGATGTTTTTATTCAAATATTCCACTGCTCTGCATACAATTCTTTAAGTGAGGGAGGGAGGAAGAATGGGGAGGAAACTTGTTCTGACAAGTGAAGACTTGTTTTTATTTCATGGTCTGTGTGATAGAAACCACAGTTATCTGCTGCTAAAAACTGAACTGCAATGAACATAGTAATAATAACTTTAAATTGCCAAATGGTGTGTTATGATACTGTTGCATTTATTTAATACCGTTACATGTTTTCCCATAAGAGTTATCCATTTGTGTATAGATGTTTCCCAAATACTTGTTCTGTGGGTACAAATTTCTAATTTGGGAGGAAGTCGAGTTCTTTTCAGAGGTTTATAAGAAAGCCTTAGTTTAAATATGTTCATTAAAGGAATTTTCTAAGAGGAAATTAAATTTAAAAAAAAGAAATAAAAGTAAAAACAAAATTCCTGGGAAGGGATCAGGAGTTGAACAGCTGTAGCAGTAGAGTTCCTTGTTAGGAAGTATAAAACCTGATGTGTGCACACGTGTGTGTGGTTTTAATTCTTGGAAATACTTGCGGCTTCCTACTAACCCAAGTTTACATTCCCAGAATTTGTTTCTGAACCGTGAAATGCAGAGAGAGAAGCTGTGCTTTCTTCTGGAGAAACATTAACTGGTTAACTGCCCTCATGTCCATTTCTCAGGTAAAATTAGAAATAGAGCACAAATACATTTGGTAGGCTACGGACAATCTGTCAGCTGAAGGGCAGAAGGATTAACTATTTATACAAAATATGCATATCAGCATCTCTGAGCTAATAATTGGGTCATGTTGGATGTTCACAGTGAAGAATGCAAGGCAGAATAGAGAGTCCAAGGTATGGTCTTTTCTGTTAGCAAAAAGATGCAGACGTACCTCCATTTGTATTTTGTCAATTCTTGAAAAACACATTTTTATTTTTGTTAATGAGAGTTGATTTTGCTGGGGGCACTTCTGCCAAATATAAAATCAGTGCCTCTTGCATGTAGTGGGATCAGCCTGATGTATCCCATTAGGTATAATTTGCAATGCCGTCCTGCTTGTATAATTTAGAGTAGAAGCCCACAGAGGTGTAAATAGAGATAGCATATTGAAGTTCTAAATAAAACTTATGTTTTGAATTCAGAAACGGTCACTGATTATGAGATGCAAGCTTTTAATTTGATTTTTCTTTAATATATAGTTAAGGCAAAACTGTCTTATAAAGTATTCTTAAGTTTTGTAGACAAAGCATAAATGTTATTGTATATGTGCTAATTGTGGCAGAGTTTTACATTATCATTCTAGTTGGTTTTTACAATAAAGTTAATTTTACAAAAAACACTTTTCTATTTTTATGTACTGACATATGCAATAAATTGATACATTAAAAGTGCTGTTAATGTCTTGTTCTAGTTTGTGGCTTGTCTTCAGTGTGTGTGAAGAGGTAGTTTTGTTTGCATGGTAACAGATCAATCCCAAGGTACCGTTTTCAGTCACTTAGTAAAACCAGAGCACATGGACTAGCCATCTGCATTGTTAGATGTGGCCTTTGTGGAAAGCTATTACAGCAGGGGAAAAAATTACAAATATGTTTCTAAGCTTTGTCATGTATCCTCACTTTCAGTAAGTGTTGGTAAGTAAAACTGGTATGTGGTAGCTATCCATCACTTTCTAACACATTTTGCATTTCAAAATTTCTCTGTTGTCTGAGAGATGGTATAAATACTATGTCCATTAGAAAGTATTTTGAAGTGTTTCTGACTATGCTTTTTTGCCATCTATGCTGTCAGTATTGTAAATGTCAATTTTAAATCCTATAATGCCACTCAGAATTATAGTTCATTCATACTATTTGATTAATTTATTAATTTATTATATAATTTATTATTATTTTACAATTTAATTTAACTAGTTAATTCATACTTGGAGTGGGATACTCAGACTGAAGCAATTTCTATTTTCTTACAGAGAATTGTATTACTAAGCTTATATCACCTCTGCTCCCATTTGGCATGGTTAATATGAAATACCCAGAAAATAAGGGCTTACTGCTGTCTTTTCTAAAGCTGCAAAATATGTGTCCTCTCCTGAATTACTGCAAGGCTTATAGTTCATTTTTAACCCAGTACCTAGGAAACAGGGCCGTGGGTGTGGGGTGTAGGTGTGGTACATTTGGACACTATGTTCAAGATACCTATTAATTTGGAATGAAAAAAAATAATTTTTGTAAAGGAAGAAATGACAGTACAGGAACAATTTCAGATTTGGGTACTTTATGTGAATATTGCCCTGCATGAGAAGCAGGTTACTGTCTTGTGAACTATGTCACTAAAATTTACTTGCGTGGTGCTGTTCTGGAGAACACAAGTCTTGCATTTGCTTTTTCTTACTTGAAAATTAATAAGCAGCTGGGCTACAAAGTGCAACACAAACTGTGTCTTGGAATGTCTCATGATGTTATACTCATTTGCTTAGTAGGTGGGTATAGGCCTTCATACCAGGCAAAACACTGTATTTGAATTTTTCTCTGAATTTGCGAGTACTGATTAAAGTATAGTAAACATTCATAAGAGCATATGAACATCTAAACTAGTACTGGAGCAGCCTTGCTGAGAAGGACTTGGTGGTGCTGATGGATGAGAGGCTGGACATGATCCAGCTATGAGCACCCACAGCCCAGAAAGCCAAACATGTCCTGGGCTGCATCCAAAGCAGTGTGGGCAGCAGGGCCAGGGAGGGGATTCTGCCCCTCTGCTCTGCTCTGCTGAGACCCCAGCTGGAACCCTGAATCCAGCTCTTGATTCTTCAGCACAGGAAGGGCATTGAGCTGTTGGAGGAAGTCTAGAGGAGGGCCACCAATCTGATTAGATGGGTGCAGCACTTCTTCTATGAGAAAAAGCTAAGAGAATTGGGCTTGTCCAGCCCAGAAAATAAAAGGTTTTGGGGTGACCTAATTGCAGCTTTACAGTACCTCAGGGAGGCTACAAGATAGATGGAGAGACTTTTTACAAGGTCATGTAGTTTTATGTAGTTTACAAGACAAGAGGGAAAGGCTTCAAATTGAAAGAGTGGAGGTATAGATTAGATATTTGGAGGGAGTTCTTTGCTGTAAAGGTGGTGAGGCACTGTGGCAGGTTGCCCAGAGAAGTTGTGGATGGCCCATCCCTGGAAGTGTTCAAGGCCAGTCTGCATGAAGGTCTTGGCAACTTGATCTAGGGGAGGATGTCCCTGGCCACGACAGAGGTGTTGGGACAAGACAATGTTTATGGTCCCTTCCAACCCAGTCTGTTCTATGACTCTATGAAATGAAACCTAGACCAAAGACTTGCTGTCTGTTAAAAAGATCAAATATAGACAGATAAGGTTTTGAGAAAATGCTGAACTATTGGCTTAGCAAAAATTATTTGCCCCAAAGATATTGAACATGCCTGAGCTTTAAATCTCTTGTTGGACCCTATTCAGGGTCTTCATTTTAGATTTTGGAACGAGTTCTGTCCCTGTAAGTAGATAAGGAAGATACACTGATTATGTTCTGGATTTGTTTTGAAAACATTGATGTGATTAATTTGTTATGCTTCAGCTTGGATGGGGGCAGAATAACTCTTGTATGTTTTGGAAAAACAGCAATTTTTCTTTCTCGGAAAGGCAGTGCAGCTTAAGAGCAGACTTGGTTTTACTGTAAAAGAAACATGGTTTCTCTCTCAACTGGAGATACATATTTAATAATCTGAAGCAATGAGCTGAATAATGCAAAGCTGCAAGGTGGTTGACAGAAATGTAAGTATGTTCACATACCAAGTTCAGAGAGACGTTGCCGCAAGTTTGACCAAGTAACTAAGGAACGGGTTGTGCTCCTTGAAGACAGAAAGAAAGGAAGTTCTACAGCTGGTTCGAATTACACTTAACCTCTAGTGTGGGCTAATTATTTACAAAAATTCAAAGGGAAAGGTCAGGCAGAGAACCCTTTCCTGTCTCTCCTCTAAGACTCAGGGACAGTGTAACAAATACAGCTATGAGGAAATTACATTATGGTTTGAAAATACTTGAATCCTTGTCCTGTGCCCTCTCTTGAAGGTCTCCAGACTGTAGCAGCAGCAGAGCGGCCACTCCCACGTGAAGGGCCATGGCTCCGTGTTTATCTTGTTACCATACAAAAGCATTTTTAGCCCATCTGTGCAAAATTAGGTTGCATAGTGTCAAAGAAGTGGAGAAATGCAGTTCTCCGTGTTGCTGGATAGCAAAGCCGGTGAGACTGTAAGAGAAGTGGGCTTCAGCTGTGTGACAGAGCTCCTGTTTCCCTGGGCAGTAAGAAGCAATTGCTGTAACATCATGGAGGGAGGGGGGGAAAGGGGAGGAGGCTGGCATTAAGCTGCTGTAGTATATAAATCCTGGGCTGTCTTTTTGTATTTTATATGTTTTTTAAATTATTTTCTAGCTGGTTCTGCTGCATATTTTGAATGACACCTATAATAATTGCTTTTCCTTTCTATGTCAGTTCATTTTCTCTTTGAAAGCACAGTAATAATAATTTTTTAAAAAGTGACAGTGGCTGCAAGTTCCATATAGGTTTGTGTGGTATGCATTTGGACCCAAATTGTCTAGATATCTAGAGAAATAAAATATTACAGGGAATAAAACAGGGATGGCATACATAAAATGTGCAGAGACCTTTGTGTTATCCTTGGCAATTTTGAAATGTTGAGGAAAGGGGAAAAGATTTTGCCTCAGAAAAATCTCATAGAATTTTTTGTTTTCCTAAAAGGTAATTTATCAATATAACAAAATTCAAACAAGGTATAACAAGGTAATTTATCAAATAAGGCTTTAACTGTTTGTATAACAGTTAACTTGCATCCTTTACTTGCAAGGTATTCAACAGCTTCCTAGAAGTTAAAATTATAAGATATACAGCTACAGGAGTGGAGTATCCAGAAATAAGAGTACTTTTTGGATCCATTTGTGAGGCAGAACTTGCCTGGATTTGCTACTGTGGAAGTTGCAGTTAATGGCTGAAAGAACTATTTAAGTGCTCCTGAAGGGAATGTGCACTGTTTCAGAGGGGTATCTGTGAATATTCTTAATACGGATCTCTTTATTAGCAGAAAACTATAATACAGGATTTATTCTGATCTCCAAAACAGTCCTCTTATTTTGTCCATCTTCAGAAAGGGCTCGAAATTAACTGTAAAATTTCAGAATGGAACCTCTGCTTTTTCTGCGCTCCTCTATCTGTTCTGCACTGTCTTGTGTGGTAAGGCGAGATGTCGTGGTCTCTTTCTTGTAATAACCGCAGGGACCATTTTGTGGCTGCTTCAGAAGTATGTGAAGCTGGACCCTTGCCACTGGAGGCGTACTTTTAGTGTGGCTTTCGAAACACTTGCCTGGATCTCTGGGTTGCAACATCTGCACAACTCCATTTTTAAAAACAGAACATTTATTTTTAAGCAAACTTTCATGTTTCTTCAGTAAATTAGGTTTTTACCCAAGCCTTCACAGACATATCAACTGCTTCTCTTTTGTGCATTGAACTTCATGATGGGTTTTTCCTCCCTCACAAAGAAGATGCTTTTGTGGTTAAAGTACTTAACTGGATTTCAGGAAATCAAGAATTCAGTTTCTGGTTAAACCACAAATTTCCTGTATGATTGGTTGCTATCGCTGCCTTGGTTCCCCACAGATGTAATGTTGATCTTTTATAAATTCTCGGATTAGCAGGACTCATCTTGATCATTTAATCTGATACTCTGCATAACAGAAATGAAAAAAATTAATTACCTGCATAAAATTACAGGGCTTGTTTCTGCTATAACACCTTGGAAGTTTTAACCAGCCTTCATTTTGTTCAGGAACCCATTTTCCTGTCTTGTAGTGAAACATTCTCACTTTTAAGAGTCTTCAGTGGTAGTGTGTTGGGGTTTGGTCTTCATTTATTTCTTATTTTGAATTTTATTTAAACATTTAAATTTAAATGTTTGCTCTTTTTCCTGGAAGTGAAGGACTTGGTTAATTAGAATTCTTAGATTAGCCAAGGGATTTCTTAATTTTTTATCGTGGCTAAATTAAAAAGTTTTTTAGTCTGTTAATCTGAGTGTTCAACATAGCTCATCCTTTGGGTTAAGGAGATACTATGTGTATGCAAGGATCATGTACTGTGCATGCAAATTCAGAACATAATTTCAGAGTACCTTTATTTTAAGGGTTTATTCATATTTGTTTGCAGAGTTAGATGGCCAAGACTAGGCTTATGCAGTTTAGTGCAATGACCTTTTCTTTTGTAGAAGTAGTTTGGAAAATGCTGCTTTGAACTGGTCTCGAGGTGGCCCCTAAGGTTTTCTGACT